TCAATTTCAATTATACAATGAGATTCGTAAATACTTATCGATGTTAGATGATACAATATTTTCGAGATGAGTTATTTTAACAGAACTAGTTGCAAGTTTATGTCCAAGATCAAATAATGTGCACAATTATATATCATATTAGAATTATCTTTTTAACCTTGATATTTGTTTTAAAAATTATTAAGAATTTTGTGTGTGTAGAAAGTTTTGTACTTTTTGTAAATTAGTTTTATAAACTTGTAATGTATTTCCGATTATTTTATTCGTATAGTGTCGAAGAGGAAATTGACATAGATAAAGAATTAAACAAGCTATCCGAAGAACCAACCGGTCGTGATGAGATTATCCTGTCAGACCAGTTGCATTCCGAAGACACTAACGAACGCAACATGCGGTAAGTGGAAAACCACTTGGAAAAGTTAAATACATTTATTAACTATATAGCCATGGCTTAACTCGTTTGTTTGAATAGTGATATTGGAAGTAGAATGCAAAGTTCTACATCCTCTCTTAAGCCATTCGTGAGAAATGTGTGTTTACAAACAATCAATTCACAGAGTTAAAGATAAAATATATTATTGAACATTATGTTTCTCATTTGATCGTTGGCGGAAATCAAACGTTTCAAAACCTGAATGTATTTAATCTTATACTACGCCAATTGAATGGAGTTTTAAATAAAGGTTCTCATTTCGATTTTAATTTTGTTTAACAGTGTCCCCGAGGGTAATCCCTTAGGTAAGCATTAATCTACGCCACATTGCAACTATTGTAGGCGAAAGTTTCGAGGGTGGCTGTAAATTTTAATAAATATCCGCACCCAGCGCTAATTAATATTCAATAATTAACTATAAACACGCAATTACAAACATTATGTTCAAATGATCAAAAGGCAAGAACAAAAAAAAGAAAAGAGGCAAATTGTTCTATATAACCGAGAATAGAGCAAATCGTAAACGAATCTGAAAACCAAGCAATACGGCCTTATGATAAAAATCTTTCATTTCATATGAATCCTACATCTTAGAACTGAATTATAGAGTCGAAATATGATATAATCAATGTTAAATATACTATGAGATTTGTAAATACTTATCGAGGTTAGATGATACAATATTTTCGAGATGAGTAATTTTAACAGAACTATTTGCAAGTTTATGTCCAAGATCAAATAATGTGCACAATTTATATCATATTAAAATTTTCTTTTTAACCTTGATCTTTTTTTTTTAAAAATTACTTAGAATTTTGTATGTGTAGAAAGTTTTGTACTTTTTGTTATTTAGTGTTATAAACTTGTAATTTACTTCCGATTATTTTATTCGTATAGTGTCGAAGAGGAAATTGACATAGATATTACATAGATGTTGACATAGACATATTATTGATTCTATAGTTATTTTATTTATTTATGTAGTTTTATTATACTATACATAATACATTACGTTAATTGTATTAGTGTTTTGAGTTTACATTGGACATTTTTGTAACATGGCAAACTATGGAAAAAGTTCCCTTTTTTAATAGTTGATATGTAAACTGTGATAAAATTTATTTGACATTATACAAGCGTTGATAATATTAACATGATACATTTTACAAATAGTATTAATTTATTTTATGCTTTTATTTTATTTTTTTAGTTTGTATTTTATATTTATATGTACACATCTATAAGTTAAACCTTACAACATTTAAAAGTACAGATTAATTATTAAATATTTACAAGGTGACTTAATTATAAAAACGTATTTAAATACAGTATACAGTATACAAAATACAAATACATAATAATAATAAACAATAATGTTGATTAAATCCGTAACTTTATTAAATATTAAGAAAATAGGTTTTCAATTTCCTTATCGACTCCTTTACTTGTGATAATACTATAATAAAAAGTACTTAATTGTTAGTACCTAGAGGCAGGTGCGTCCTTATTAGGAAGGGGGACGCAGGGCGATCTCCCGCCCCATAGTCGAGTTCCTTAGATGCCTCTGCTTAGATGTCAGTAGAAAAAGCAGTTTAATAAATACCACGTCGTTTAATTTTTTAATGTATCATAGAATTGACATAATATTTAATAAACAATTAATAGTGTTAACAATTTTAAATACGAATTCAAAAAAAAAAGTAATTAAAAATCATGGGAATGCTCTAGTAAAAAATGCCATGCTAAATTGGTCCTGAACAACAAAAATATTACTTAAAAAGAAAAATAATTTTTGGTGTATATTGTATATTCATGAACCAGATTTTTTAATTGATCACCAAACCGTAAGTAATAATATCAAATGAAAAATTTAATGTACAAATGTTATCAATCATAAGGTTAGCCACCGATGAAATGCATATTTATAAATATATAAAAATTGACGAGTTTACATATTTAAATTTTATCGCTGAGTACATTTACTGAGATAAAAGTAAATTTGAAATTTTTAGCTTGTTAGCTTGAAAGTTTATTTTTTCAAATTTAAAGCAAGGAATGTATACTTATTGGTTTTACAATCAATTAATTTATTAACACATTTTTACCAGAAAACTCACCCAGCTTTTCAATTGTAGTACCTTTTCTGATGAATGCAATTGTATTTACTTGGTACTTTATAGAGGTCATTGAAATTTAGTAAACGTGATGCAATTCAAATTTAATCAATAAAATATTAAGTTAACACGTTTAATCTTATGTTAGTTATTAAACAAATGTTAAAAACAAAACTATATTTAAGTTTTTACTCAAATATTACAGTTTAACTCGTTAATGCTCAATTTGCCTTTACAGATGTGACTCAAGTCTCGATCAAGTTGCCCTTGCCACCGTAAATACGTTCCAGAACGCTGAACAACAGCACCAAGTGTTGCAAAACAAGCCACAGGGAAGATACAAGTGTAAACAATGTGGATTAAAGTTCAATCGAAAACATTTATTCATCATGCATTGCAAAATACATTTCGCATCCTTGAAAAACTCCGACAATTGCTACATAGATGATGAAGGGAATATGCACACATTATATTCCGTCTCCAATTATTGTTCGCGATGCGGTGTCGTATGTACTAGAAAGGAGTCACTGAAAAATCATTCTAGGTGTAAACATCACCAACATTCTGGTTAAAATATAACAGATTATTTAATTCAGTATCCTCCCGCCTTTTCATATCATGAGGAGGGGAGGGGGGGTGGGCAAGGGTGTATTGGGGAGAGATAACGGCTCGAGAAAATACAAAAATACTAGCTCACGTACTAATTTACGAAATATTGAAATTCAGCCAGCTTATTATAATTTTAACATAAATACAAACATTGTTTAAATATTTGGGAAATGCACAATTAAAACTATCAATAGCTTTTATCCCCGTTGTGTCCACCCGTATTCACCACTAGATATTATAGTTACAGACGTTATAGTTATTAAATTAGTTTACAATTAGTTACGTATGATATTCTTATTTTTAATTTAAATATAAATTTGTTTCATTATTATTAGGGCTAAGATTTATATGGAATAAAAAATTTTAAAATAAATAATAATAATAATAAAAAAATTTGTATTATTTATATACATTTGTTTATTGTTTATTTATTGTTGTTGTTCATTTTGGTTTTCTAATGTATTTTTGATGAATGACTGTTTAGATTTAGCTTTAAAATTAATATTTTTTGTGTGTTTATTTGTATTTAAATATCGTTTATAAGAATGGTACTTACTGTTATTAAAACCACTTAAACTATTAAATTTAAATGTCCACACCTGTACGATTATTAATGAAATGAAATAATTTTTTACTATCTCACAATATAGATATGTCGTTAAATAATGTGTAGGTAATTTTATCGGTCGTCCGACCAAGATAACATTAAAAAGGTAGTATATTAACGACATTTCCAAAAATAAGCCAATAATTATAGACGCTATTTAAATAATTACTATTGAAAATTAACAACATTATAAATTCAAGTTTAATCAAGGAAAATTGTTCTATCTAACCGAGAATAGGCCAAATCGTGGACAAATCTGAGAACCAATCAATATGGCTTTAAGATAAAAAATACATTGCAATCCATTTAAATCATACATCTAAGTCTATCACACTATTCACATTATTAATCGAAGAAGATTTTTTCATAATGTCCCAATATTCGTACTTTGTTTGACCTTCTACAAAACTTTACTAGACTTTAATAATAGGTACTGTTGTAGTATTTACTGAAAAATTACATAATTCTATTAAAAATTAATACAAATTAATTCATTTATAAATATCTTAAATTATTTTCGTTATTATTCTATTGGATAGTTTTTTTTTTTTCAAATTTTCAGAACTTATGCATACATTTAGTACTTATATAATAAATGCTTATGGTAAAAAATTGTGTATAGATAGTAAATCGCAAATAAAATTTGAAACAAAAAATATTGTAATTTAGCCTTTTTGCTTCATTAATCTAGGTAGACCTGTAAACATAAATGCATTTATGCTAACTATTAACAATTATATTATTTCATCATAACAAATTGTAGACATTTATAAAAATTGTACAATTTACGGCATAATAATATAATGATTTGGATTAATGTCGGGTCAACGAAAAATGAGCGCTGCCCGTTATGCACCAAGCGGCAGTTTACTAGTAGTGGTTATCAATCTTTGAAACAAAAAGCCCGCGTTTTTTTAAAAATATCAAATTATCTATAAAAAGGTATTATTATTTTTTTTTAATAAAGATTTTTTTTTTATTGGTTATGGACTTATTTTACATTTCATTATACAAATAATTAAAACATATTTACAATGGAAAAATAATAAAACACAAATATATTATAGTAAAATGACAAATCACAAAAGTGTTTCGACATCATTTTCACTGTCCTCGTCGTTGCCAAAATCACTGTTGTCACTTTATGATGATCGGCTATAACAAACTGTCTCTTAATATCTCCTTTTTATTATCTTGATCCTGGATTGTCTCAGCATGTTTGACGCATTTTTCCCAATCACATTTTGATACCAAATCCAATGTCTCTGAGTGAGTCTTTCGACGTCCACCATTTGGACGCTGAATTATTTTTTGCCACTTTGCCTTTTACTTGAGCCCGTATAAGTTCAATGGGGTTATATTCACAATGGATCAGTGACAGTCTTACTATTTCATGGCCCATTGAACATGCTATGTCATCTAATTCATTCTTTTTATGTGACGGTTTAAAAAATTTCACACGTACGCGAAGTTCGGCTGGAGTTTCCAATGGTGAAAAATTAATATTTTGATTTTTCAGTCATTCCTCCACCTTAGACTTTCGGGCGTTATATCTTGGATAATTGTTCTTTAACATAGAATGACAGAGTGTGTTATTCATTACACATGGTTCGGGAATTAGTTTTAGCATATCTATAAACCATTTTTTAAATACATCTGAATTCATTGACGAATGGTAGTCAGTAAAAATCCAGCTTGACATTTAAAAACTAATTTTGATCCTTCTATAAATCCGAAACGCGATCCAGCGTGAGTAATTATTAGGCGACCTCCTTTGCCAGTTGGTATTTTGAATCTTTCCGTTTCTTCGGTATTCTGCCAAATATGGGACCTCGAATGATTTTGTTTTACTTAGGTTTCATCCAAGTAAAGCACAGGTTGGGTATCTTTATTCTGCCTGAGTGAACACATTGTACGTAAAAATGTACATCGTAAAGCGACTATATCGTTTCGCTCCATAAACATTTTGCTGCCATTATTGCACTTCTTAAAAGTAAATTTTTAGTTTTTTAACAAATTTCTTACCGACAGGACGCATCCTTGATAATGTGCTAATATTTTTTTAATTTCATTTAATATTGAAAAAGCAGTTGGATATTCGTTACTTTCGTTAAACTCGTGTATGATCCGTCGAACCACATCAGCATCGAAATCGTCCAGCTCCGAGTACTTCTATGAACGTTTGTACAATTTGCGAGGTGATTTAAATTGTACTTCTTTGTTACTATCGTCTGTAGATTTTTTCGCTTCTACACATATACGCCGCACTGTCATATGTGAAACACTACAAGCCTGAGCAGCAGTTTTTGTGCACTTTTTTTAAAATCTAAACACATTTTAATGAAATTATAAACACTAAAAATAATTTTTTTTCTCTGACTATGTGTATCATGATCTTTAAACGACATTTTAAAGTTTTAAAACAAGCGTACTGAGTTATGAAACAGGTTTAACGACTATAACACGGCGCGTACGAAATAAATGCTTACGACTGCAAGGTGTGTTAACGATAGATGAGAACAAAAAAATAATATACTTCAGTGGCTGCTATAATATCATCCCTTCCTTCTAAACATAAACCTACAACGGAGGGTAAGGAATGTTATAAATTGAACATGTGCTACCATCAACTATCTGTTACTTAACGGTAAATACTGTCACTGCTCAATTTTCAAATATACATTATGTAGGGCGCGTAGCAGCACCACAGCTGCACTATGTTGAGAATCATTGGCCTTAACGGCGGGTATAAACATTGGGTCGCAGGAGCCAGCGCTCATTTTTCGTTGCCCCGACTATAGTCAGTTAGATTTTGTGCTGAACGTCGTCGGGAGCCCGGAACGCCGTCATGTGAACAACTAGCGATTATGACAGCATCTGCTATTACTAGAAACAACGCAGAGCGCCTTATAGTGGCATCCGTCATTTACCATGTACTGTATTTTCTATTGCAGTGAGCAATCTTTAGTATTTATAGTCAATAAAAGTATATTTATGACATTTCGAAAAATAACTTAATAGTTATAGACGTTATTTAAATAAATACCATTTAAAATTAATAATATTATAAATTTAAGTTTAAAAATAAACAAAATTAACAAGATTTCTCAAAAATCTACAAATATGAAATTATATGCATTATGTATTTATGTTCGAAATATCCAAAAATAAAAAAATTAGTTCTATTTAATTGAGAATAAGCCAAATTGTAGACATATTTGACAACAAATCAATTTGACCTTAAGAAAAAAAACATGTAAATACATGTACTAGTACCTAGTACTAAGGCATTCAAAATCCACTTAATCCGCTTAAAAACATCAAAAGCCTTGAACATTTTTTTTTTTTAAATCAAAAATGACTCAAGGTTCAGTGGAGTTGAAAATTCTCACATCTTCTTCCATAACGGCTCTAACCATTAAATGCAATTTTATAATAATACAAAACGATTAACAAAACATTTTTTTTTTTATAAAATTTAACATTTTATTTAAAAACGTGTGTTAATCATTTTTGCAATGTACGAAAATTATATTTATAAGTTAGAGCCCTTAAAGGGTGTGGGACTTTTAAAAACATAATACCACTTTTTGTTTTAGATTAGAAGTGGAGCGAGGAATGTATTGGCTTTACAATGGTGTTTGTTATTATTATTTTTTTCTTATGTAAACACTTTTTCTACCAGAAAGTTTACTCCGATTAGCAAATATAGCACCTTTTCTGAAAGGAAATGTTTTCTGGAACTTTAAAGAGGTCTTTTTTGAAATTCTCATTAATATTCGAGATAATGAGGAAAACCTCGGTCTCTAGGTTAAAAAATATTGAAAGATTAAAAATAAGGTTGTCATTGGCATCTGTTTTTAATTATTAAGTTTTATTATTTTAATATTTTTTAAACAATCATTATAATGGAAACGCACATTGTTGTAATCAGTTTACCTTAAAATGGTATGACACATGAATTGTTGACAAAGCAACACTATCAACTAAACTCCGCTCAGAATCGTATTTTCGTTACCAATCGTTGCTTACAGATATACATTAAATTCCCGTCTGTATTCTATCTTTCCGACTTCCACCTACAATAGTGGCTGCACCAACTTGCGAATTATGTTAGTCTTTATATTATAATTAAATTTTTTATTTTAGATTTTTTCTTCTTTAACAATGGTTTTTTGTTAACAAAGGTTTATTTTTGCATACAAGTATAAATAAAATAACTTTATGTATTTCACCTTCCCAACTACCCACCTATAACACTTGGTGACCCGTTTCCACTTCCCAGTATCAGTTTTTTTTTCCCTAATATTATTACTTTGTAGAGATGGATCGGTTGCAACTAACATTAGAGTTGTAAATTGTAATTTTAATTTTTATGTCCGATAATACTGATAAAGTAAAAATACACATTCAAGTCCTATCAAATTACCTATGTGTACTACAAAAAAAGACAAATAATTAAGTTATTTTATTTTAGAAATATCATAATTAAAACACAGTTGAAAAATTAATAGTTTTATTATTATTTATAATAAAAACTGTTACTAACAATATGGGTAAGTGTAAAAAAAAACTTTTCTCTTAATAATATATACGATTAGCAGGATTTGACGAAATATTATTTGGTCTGTATGGTATAGAGAAAATGTATAAGAAAAACTGACAATTCGATGTTAACTTTGTTTTCAATATACTATTTTAGTTTGTAAACACATTGATGGATACTAATCATTCTAGCAGTAATGTGCAAAATTTCATATTATATCAACACTGCTGTAACAGTTATTTTTTCATTGGTATCAAATAATAAGAGACAGTGGACTGCCATATTATGTCAGTCTTGACTGTCAATTTACATAGATTATGGCAGTGTAGTTAAGGGATGCATTCATAAAGGAGTGATTCCTTTTTAGAGAAATAAATGAAGCAATTAATTAGATTATATTTCAAAGAAATAGAAACGTGAATTAATTTTTTATTTTTAAAAATAGGAGCGTAAATATTAGAATTTTTTTATTATTCCCTGAAACGTGTTCTAAAATACATTTAGGGAGAATATTTTTACTTATCGAGTTTTAAATCTAATAGACGAGACTTTTCCAACCAATATTTTCTTGACATACGACTTGGTGTTCCAAAGTTAATTAATTAGTGATATTTTTAAACTAAGAATATAAAATAAATATTTTAGACTATAAAAGGTAAGGTTCATAAAGGAACACTTAAATAAAGAACCAGTTATTCTTTTTTTTAAGGAACGTTAACAACATTGAATTTTGGATGTAGGTATAGCATTATTCATTACTAATATAACAATAAAATTAATTTACAAGTGTCCATTAATGTGTTAACAGTTAACATTACAATATTTTTTGTTTTACAATTGAAAATAAATATTATACAAAACAATGGTCAAAGATATACATTGAATTCGGTTTTGCAATTATCAATCATACATATTTAGATTTACTAAACACAAATTTTCTTTTTTACAATTTTTAACTATATCCAACAATACAATACTAATATAATGTAATAAAATATATTAATTTCTATCAACTAATATATCCGCAGTCTGTTTAAAGATATTATGTTTTACATATACAAATTGCATTAATTATTTAAAATTAGTTTAACTAGTATTTATAACACTACCTTTTCTACATTAAGATGAATTCGGTTTTACAGTTTAACTACAACCATACAAATAACATCCACATTTCCTTTCTTTCTTGAACAAAATTTTTAAAAACAAATTTCATAGAAGTGCATGTATGTGATAGTGGATAATGTGTTTGGTTAAAGTGTATTATATTATGAATTAAGAATAACATTGGCCTATACCAGTTTAAACAGAATAATATAAATTATACCTGCCTATAATAAAAACACAATTTGGTGATTATTATTTATTTTATAATTATTTAGTGATACTTTTTAATTTAGTATAGTAAACAGTTGAAATTACAACAGATTTTTAATATTGATAAATACATATTACATGTTTTTCTAATATAAATATATGAGATTAATGAAGTTACATAAGAGAAGATTTTTGAATATTGCACCTATAGATAAATGTTATCCATAACAAATATCAAAATATTTAACTAACTTTTTTTCCGGTGTGGCTATTAACAATATTAATATATTTACAAAATCCACAAGATAAGTGCTATATATTAGTTTAATTTATGTTTTTTGAACTGACGAGATTTTGTTATAGTTGTACATATATTTTTCATTCAACAATAATTTTAAACACGTAGTTTTTCTTTTATAATTATAATGTTTCTTTAGTAACGAATTTAATGTGTATGTATGGTCTACCTAAGCGAATAATTTCGAATTGTGGAAGTATGTTCATGTTCTCCGAATTCGCCAGATACTGTAACGAGGAGGGGATTCAATACTAAGCGGTTGACCATCCCCGGGCAAATGGACAAGTGGAGCAAGCCAGCTCAACTGCATTGCCTGTGATTAGTAATAACATACGAGGAAAATACTCATGGGATAAGAAATTGAGTTGTTCTTAAATTCGGTGGATGGACAATACTTCCACAAAATTTCACCATTCCGAGCCCTGTATGGGTACTTTTCAATTCTACAAAATAAGATAACGGACACGATAGTCAATCCAGTAAAACAGTAGAGGGATCCTAGACCAATCCAGGAGGAAATAAGAGGGACAATTTCAAGTATTAAACCACGCAGCTTTTATTATGAAATTCATTGCATTGTTATTGTATCAAATATTTTACTAATCATTGTTATTATTATTTTTGTTTTTTTCTGTTGTATGATGCAACAATAAATATTGTGATTTATTAGTGTTAGTCAGTGTTAGAAAATAATAATAAGAAATAATATTTAAGTAACTTTTAAGAAGTAGGTTAAGTTATATGGAAAATATAAATAGAGTGATGAGGAAAGAACTGGGCGGTGAGGCCACACGGTGAATTGCAGGCAGTGGCGCAACTAGGCGAGGGAGGGGAGTTGTGACTCCCTCCGAAATATGTTTGTGAGTTTTTTACGAATTCTACGTAATTGAGTGATTTTAATATCAATTGAAATGAAACAAAATATTGTAACATCGTGTATGAATAAGTGATAACAATTATCACCATAAAGATCATTTTCCACACATAGGAAGTTAAAAACTTATTTAAGAAACACTACAGAAAAACAGAAACTTAATGGAATGGCAACTTTAAACATACATACAAACATTGAAGTTAAAACAGATTCAGTGTTTAATACTAAGGCACTCTACTCGAAGAATTAATCTTAGACTGTAAATTATTATTATTATAAAGGCTGTGCCATTTATAAACCTTAGGGATGTTTTTTGGTAATAATTTATTTTAAAAAACTCAAATTATTAATTTTGAATAATTTTTCGTTTATTTTATTTTTTTCAGATTACTTTTTAAAAATAATATTGCTTAGATGGTCGCCTTACAGAGCAAATGACGTAATTTGCTCGCTTTTGGAATTTTATATCACTTTTCGAAGTAACTAAGGTTGAATGGGGCCGTAAATAAACAAAATTGTTAGTTCTACAACATTGAAAACCCTCAATTTATCTATGAACAACCTCTTAATAATTAACGTGTGATTTTTTGGGTAGGAGTTTTCGTGAAAACAATCATTTGGCTGTTCTTTTTCGAAGGAGAGATGCTGGAGCAGCCGTATCCATCAATGGAGAGAGTTATCGAGCCATGATAGCGAATATTTTGATTCCATTTCTGATTAATAACGACATGAACGACTATTGGTTACAACAAGATGGTGCCACAGCATGTACAGTTCGAGCCACGATCGCTTCATTGCATCTTTGGTTCCTCGGATGCTTAATTTCAAAAAATGGTGATTTCAACTGGCTTCCACGATCACCCTACTTAACGCCTCCAGACTTTTTCCTGTAGGGTTATTCAAATTCTAGATTTTATATCAAAAAGCCCTGGACCCTAGAAGCATTGAAGGGTAATATATGACAGGAAATGGCTGCTTTTCAGCCTGAATCATTTCGAAGAATGTTGGGAAATGCCGAAAAACTAACACATTACGCCATTCATTCTGAAGATGACCATTTACGCGATATTATTTTTAAAAAGTAATCAGAACAAATTTCCAAAATAAATGAAAAATCATTTAAAATTAATAATTTGTGTTTTTGAAATTAGTTATTAGTTATTAGTTATTGTATACATTATTTTTTTAAGTACTAAATATAGTTAGGTGTATTTTTTTCACCTGTGTGAAATCTTTTTGGTTAGTTGTATTTTTACCTTTGAGTGTAAAAATTTAAACTACAGGATATGAATGAGGCAGAATTTATAGTATTAAATCATAATATAACTAGTATAACGGAGAAATACACTTTAAAAAAACCAGAGTTAACAGTTATGAATTAGAAGGGGAAATTAAAAAGTGAAACAATGAGCTGATATTAGCAAAATTAAATATACTATTTTGCCTGATTATTGTCTTAAATCTTTTCGGACTTGGTGAAATTTACTATTTCCTCCAAAAAGTTTTGGATTTCCAGGAATGTTTTTCCCTTTGTTTCGATAACGTATCGATACGAATATAACGCGCTGGCGAAATTGATTATCGCGAAAACATAAAACATTATCTGGTAACCGTAATACCGCGATATGAGCAGGAAAATTTTGTTGGTGACGAAAGAACAGACGGACAATGTTATAGACGCTATGGCGGAACAATACGAACGAACGTTCACCGGAAACATTTCGCCTAAAAAAACTACTGGCATGAATCCTACGCCGATAGCAAATATTATGGAGAACAACACATGGCACAAATACGGAAACCACGTGTACTGAATCTGAACGTCGTCATTGTGTTCATTGGCATAGAAGTACAGAGCAAAAAGTAGGCATATAACGCCTAAACCCGTCTGAGAAAAAATCAAAAGCGGTTTCCTGCCTACCTGGTCTACTAATGCCAAGCCGACAAAATTTACGATGACTAATAGCGTGGCAAATAACATTATGTATTCGGATTTGCCGATGACCGGGGCGGGATCTGGTAGTATTAGTGACGAATATGCGTAAATACAGCTGATGCCACCCGCCCGTTGAGAGGCACACGTCACGACCACGATCCCGAGGGCCCGGAGATTTTTCCGGCTGGAAAACATCTCACGGACTGATGACTGGTTTTGCGTATCATTTTTCATGTTCACCTCCATTTGCTGTAACTCGGCTTGGATGTTGTCCTCATGCCTGAACCACTGCAGGCATTTGGCTGCTTCAAGAGGGCGATTTTTCTTCAATAGATAATAAGGGGATTCCGGAATCCAAACGGCTACTAAGAAAAACAACACAGGCATCGTGGCAGACACCACGTTCAGAGTTTTATACGACACCAGAGGACCGACTATCGCTTCGAACAAAAAACCAAGGTGGAGTTGAACACAGAATGAGGTACTCAGAGCTCCGCGGATCTTAACGCTGGCTATTTCACCAACGAAAATCGGTACCACTGTATACGAAATGCCCTTGCCCAATCCAGCCATCAGTCTTGCCGTATACAGAGCCCAAGGGGTTGGCACGTATATTGCTAGTAACCAGGCGACGATGAACAGAGGTCCGAGGATGACATTGCTGGTCTTCCTACCAATCGTATCCATCATGTATCCAGCGAATAGTGGACTAACGATGTTACCCAAGTCCATCATGGCTACGATCCATGATAATTGGTCGATGTTCACGTTAAAGTCCGTCTCGTGCTTGATGAATTTTTCGACCACCGAACTCGGCCATCCTAACCACATACCACTGATGAATATGGAAAATGATGCTAATTTTTGAAAAAGAGAATATAATATATTTTAGATACGGAGTGAAGCAAGGAATTTCTTGATTTTATGATTTTGTTTATTTTTTTATTTTATAGTTTTCTTTTCTGAACAACTCTACTAAAATTTTACTCTGGTTTTGAAGTGTAACACCTTTTCGGAAAGAAAATTTTTGTAGAGTGGTCATTTTTTGATTTTCCCAAGGGTTTTCATAGTAAATTCTACTAAAAAATGCTTCAAAAATCAAAAAATGACTTCTCTAAAGTACCAAGTTGATAACATTTTCTTTCAAGAAAGGTACTATACTTGATACACTGGATTAAATTTTCTAGGGGAAATTTTCTTCATAGTATAAAAAAAAAAAAAAAGTAAACATTTTTGTAACCAATACATTGCTCGCTATTCTCCGAATCTAAAAGTAATTATTAGTTTGAATCTTATGTGTTTGATTCTAATATGTACAGTATACAAAAGTTTCAAATTTAATTCATAACTATAAAAGTTAAAAATGTATCATGATACCCACTCAATATTTTAGATATTTTAGGTATCAATACTTTAGATTTTTGTTTCTGTTATCAATGGTACCTATCCATAACTTAAAAATAGGTTCTTAAAGTTTACCTATTTAAATTAACTAAAAGATTTAATTTCTCCTCTTTTACCTTATTTCTAAGTTAGAAATACATATTTCTGGTTTAAAAATACTTAATGATATTGTACTCATTTTATGTCTATATTGACTACTAGTATAATTTTAGTTTTGAATGTTCTGATGTATCATTGACATTTATGATAAAAAAATAATACATTCTAACAATTCTAATTACCTTGAAACAACGTCTAACAAGTCTGAAAAAAAGAATGTTAGAGATATTTAGTTTCTGTATGTTATACATGTGGTGGTTAAGTTTGGTAGTACCCACTTCACCTATGTCTGAATTTCCTTCAAAATAGTACTTCGTTAGAAATATGTATGCATAAAGTATGTGTTTTCATTACGTACAGATATAAATACCTATATTAACTTTATTTTCCTATCTTCTCAACAGTCGTAGTGTGGTACACTCATCAGCAGAATTAGCTTGTTTTTTATTACTACAGATATTTTTAACAATTATGGGTCAACAATAATTAATTTATTAATGAGAAATGCTTACAAATTTGCATAAAAAATGTCATTATTTGTTTTGGTAATACCTAATATTATTTTTAAAATTATATAACTTTTTTTACCTTAAACTTACCAATCAGTGTAACATATATTTGCCTGAATACGTGGCTATTAAACATTTTGTTTGGGTTATGTATGTTATATCGATTTTCACTTTGATATTGCGCTTTATTTTTGTTTTCTATAAAATAATAAAACATGAATTTTATGATATGATGAATAAATTAAAGTCATTATTAAATTTAATTAACTTGGTTAGTAATATTAAACTAATGTATAAATTAAAATATGTGTGAAAACTGAATCATACTTACTCGTTTGTCATAAACGTTAATAAGTATTATAATTATATATATTTATATTTTAAATTTTAATATACCTATAGGTATTCCGTACACGGATACACAAAACCACGAAGATTAGGAGACTAAATTCATACGAGCGCCCATAACTGTACTAAAAAGTTATAATTTGTATGTATTTTAATGGTAATATGGCTAAAATTATGGAATTTTTCTATTTTTTTGCTGTAAAAGTACATTTACACATTTACCTATAAAGATAAATTATGCTATATTTATTTTTACATTGTAAGATTCTAAATTATTATCACTAATTGTTATCATTACACAATGTAGATATGTTTTTGCATCACACCACCCGCAGTTAGTTCTGAACACAGACGTTAGGAACATCTCAGTAATAAATTACTTTTATATTATACGAGTTTGTGATCTTTATTTACATGACGCTGTGATGAAACCAAAGGGCGTTATAGTGTTATTTATAGTGATATTTGGCCATAAGTCTAAATTACGAGTGTGTTTGTTTTCATTTTAATAATCTTAAGTCGTGCTTCATTCTTACGCCACACGAGTTTTGTAAGGTTTGTAAAGTCTGTTAACCGTTTATTTCAATCTATTCAAGTTTGAGGCTAATCAAAATACGAATACCATTCGAGCTACAACTTCATTCAAATACGAGATAACTGGAGCTAATGTCAGTACGTACTTTGAAATGTAACCATCTTCAGAATGTTATTGTCAGTTCGAAAACAGTATCACCTATTACAAGTTTTTTTTTTAAAAATCTTAAATTATAGATATTCTATACTCAACCGATAAAAATGTATTAAAAACTATTAAGATCGAGGAGCTTCGAGAAGAACTATCGTTTTGTATATTGCCAAATACCGGCCCGAAAGACGAACTTGTATAGATATGTTTTTAAACGACAACGAACGAGTTGTAGCTGATGGCATACAAATGAACCTTATAAGAGCCAGATAAAAATGCAAGTAAGGCGCTCTCAAAATAGAAGAATTACAACCATCCTGTCCAATTTTCAAGAATTTCTGTTTAATCAAACATTTTTATCCACAGATTACCTACCAAATAAAAATTACGTAAAAGTCCAAAATTAAAATGTCTATAATAAGCTCAAAAATTGATCAAATGTTTTGAAAATTTTAGTCTAGAAAAAGCAAATATACGTTTTCTGTCAAAATGTCAAGTCAAGTGACATCAAGTGTATATGAATATATTAAACTAAATTACATTAAAAAAACAAAATTGAAAATAATAAAATAATATTATGTTCGTACATTTTTCTGTACTTTCTGTATTTTTGTCGATTTTGCTCAGTTAAAAACACCACAAAGAAAATCAATAAAACGACTTTTTTGTTCACCAACTAGATAACAAATTCTATAAAAACATCTTTGGTATTTTTTTATTGGGGTAATATTTATGGTGAAAAACATAGGCCGTAAAAAATTTAAATTGTGACACCATGAATTTGTCAGTTTTAATTTTTCGTTTTTTTTCGGTATTTTCGTAATTATTAATAAAACTACAGAGAAAAACAAACAACTTCTTCACAAATTAGATTAAAAATTCAATAAAAAAGATCCCGTGTCGTTTATCTATTGAAGCAATATTCATATTAAAAAATACATAAGCCGTAAAAATTAAAAATAATGAAATCGTTGTCCCATAATTTGTAAAAAAATCGTGTATTTCAGTAACTCTGCGGTGTGTCGTAAATATTTACCGTTTTACCTATAATTTTCTTTTGGGTTTTTTCTAATCGCTTCGAAAACCTCTTAGAAAATCGAAAAATTATCTTCTCCGTGTACCAATTAGAGAAAATTATCTTTCAGAAGTAGTAGTAGTAGTAGTAGTAGTAGTAGTAGTAGTAGTAGTAGTAGTAGTAGTAGTAGTAGTAGTAGTAGTAGTAGTATTAGTAGTACTACAGTAGTAGTAATTATTATAAAAATTTAATTTAAAACTCCATTCTGGTAATGATTTTGATCATATACAGAAATATATTTAAATGATTGAATTGTAACTGAGAAGGGAAATTAGTGTTTTCAATACTTTTTAATTAAGTTCATTATTTCAAACATTTTTATTGTAATGCGTTTCTTGATACGAGTCTCCTTGTCTTTTCAATTATTCTTAAATTATACATAGGTTCTACTTGTATATTTGAGTAGGTAGCCTGTAAGAGTGATGAAATTCCATTATCAAATTTTTTCATAATTTGATAGCAGTAAAAAATCGGTTTACTACTCGTAGAGGTTAGACAATTTTACAAGAATTTTCTACATCTAAAGGACAAATAGCGATAACGATAAAAATAGATAAAAATATAATAATTGTTTTCGAGTGAATATCTCATATAAACCTATAGACTTAAAAAATTAAATAATAAGTATGTACTTTAACTAAACTCTATAGGTCAATAAACTATGAATAGATAAGTTAAAAGTATACCAGGTACCTATAACTAAACGATGTTTATTATACCTAATAATAAAATTGTTAAAACTTTACGAAAACGTTAAAATATATATTGAAATAATTGTGTCATCTTATTTTCACATTTTCCAAACGAGTGGTTATTGACTAGATCATGCTCTTCTTATCAGTTTGTTACCAGTAATAATTGAATCATTTGAATGCAAACAAATTAAGAGTCCCAATATTATAGCATACAAAAAATATTTTTTAAATGCTCATATTGTATTACAAACTGAATTTTGACTATTATTATTCACATCTTTCTTTTTCTTCATTTACAATAATTTTACTACAATTTTTATTGTTATTATTTTTTGATAACTTATTTAACTAACTTAATAATATATATTTGTATGAATGTGAATGTGAAATGTATACATTGTGACAATAAATAATGATGAATGAGAATGCATTCTAGTTTAAAAGTCGTTTAAAATTAAATATATAGTTAGGCATAATGATTTTTCATAGTTAACCATTAGTCATTACGAATTTTCACAAAATCTAAAAAGAAGTATTAATGTCAAAATATAATAATAGTATAATATTTTTAATTTGATTTCTATACAGTTTAAGTGATGATAATATAACGAAAATATTTTATATATTTAAAGTACGGATTCGTCCCCGTATTTTAGCAGATAAATCAAACAGATTTTTGAAAAATAAAAAATAAATATTAACTTACCTTATAATCATAGAAATATATAAAACATATAGTTCAGTACGATTTTTTAGAACTGTTGAACTATCATAACCACCTATAAAATACGCAAAAAGTTTGTTACCACGTAAAAATAAAAAGACGGACATACTTCGCACGACGCGCGACAGGTGGCCACTGTTGTAGGTAAGAAGTTGGGAAGGTAGGGTATAGAGGGGAATTTAATTTATATTTATACGCAACGATAAACCATTGATAACGAAAAACGATGCGGAGCAAAGTTCGGTTGTATATGTTTTGAAAGACCGTAATATCTTTTTATGATTTATGTCAAAATTTGATATAAAAATTCAATTAAAAAGAGACTTCCTAGGATAATTGAGATGGGTGCTGCCACTGTTATAGGTAATTTAATGTATACCTGTCAGTAACGATAAACCATTGCTTATGAAAAAAAAGAAGTTCAGTAGATGTGATGTTTTGTCAAGAATATATGCATCACATTATAGTAAAATAATTAAATAGGCATTATATATTTTCTTTAAAAATATTTGTTTAATATTGTACTGAATTTTCTCACGTTTCTTCTCGATTTTTCCCAGATATTATGAAAATGACTTGAAAAGTCACAAACTAACTTCCCTATATTACCATGCAGATTAAATTTCCTTTCGGAAAATAAGTTATACTTGATATATCGGAGCAAGATCTCTGTTACAAAAGTTTTCACAACAAATTGAAGGGTATTTTGCAATTACAATAATTCAAGAGAGTGAGGCTTGGCTCTCCAGGTATATCCAAATTACATTTGTTTTTCCTTGTTTAGGTAAATGATAAAAAAACACGAACAATTTTTTTTGGAGACACGGGTTCGAACCAGTGAACTTTAGAATGAAAATAGCTATGTATAACCATTCAGCTACGCCAATCAAAATGTATAAAAGACAATATTTAGTTATTTAACATAACATATAATAGCCACATAATATCAGAACTTCATAAAGTTATAATTTTGAAATTAAGTCAGTCCTCTTAATTATGACGTCATTATCGTTTTTAAATTAGCAATATATATTTTCAAAAAAAAAAGTTGAAAAATTAAATTTGTTCCACACAATTTTTTACTCCAACGATTTTCGTCATAATTTAATATTAAAATTCACTTATAGAAAAAATACTACATTAAACTCAATTTTTTTTTTACCTAAATTTTGAAGCATTTCTGTTCAAGTCTAAACATTTTATCACAGAGTACTTACTGAATAAATATTTCATACAAAACACTCAAAATTAAAACGTCTATAAACACCTCAAAAATGGCTTAAATTTGTTAAGAATTCACATCTAGAAAAGGCAAATATAAATTTTTGTCCAAATTTTGAGTCTATAAAATTGATACAAATATGTTTAACTCAATTTCAACAAAAATATTAAAATGTTTATAAAAAGCCTAAAAATGGCTCAAATGTTTGAAAATTTTACCACGTTCAGAATAAGCAGATATAAGTTTTCTGTACAAATTTCAAGTCTCTACAAATATTTTTAACTTAACTACAACAAATAACAAAATTTAAAATTAATAAAAGTATTATTTTTGTAAATTTACCGTTTTCCTTAAGTTTTAGCCTGATTTTCCCAGATATTATGAAAATCGCTTGGAAAATCTAAAAGTGACCATCTTAAAGTACCATACCAGTCAAATTTCTTTTCAGAAAAATGTTTATCATTATAAGCCGGGGCAAAATTTCTGGTAAAAAAGTTGTTGTTCGAAGGCAAAAAAAATGCCGTAATACATTTTAACTAAAAGGTACCTTAAGGGATATTAATACAATTCTTATATTTTTCCGTTTTTCCTCAGTTTTTTTTTTCGGTTTTTTAAATTTGATGAAAAAACTTCAAAGAAAATCTAGAAAAAATTTCCTTTCAGAAAAGGTGCTACACTTAAAAATCTGAGTACGTCTTCTGGTACATAAGTTGAGCACAGATTAAAAAAAAAAAAAAATTAAACATCTTTGTAAAACTATAGGCTTTTTATTTTTCGCTCCACTCAGAATCTAAAACAAAATTGAAAATAATAAAAGAATATTATGTACATATTCCTGTACTTTCTGCATTTTTGTCGGTTAACAAAGAAAATCAAAAAAACGACTTCTCTTCCCCAACTAGATTACAAATTCAAAAAAAAAACATCTCTTGATGTTTTTTTATTGAGATAATATATGTGATATAAAACATAAGTCGTAAAAATTTTAAAAAATGAAATTGTGACGCCATACATTTTTAAGTTTTAATTTTACGTTTCTCCCCGTATATTCCTAATTATTAATAAAACTACTGAGAAATGTATCGCCTTAAGTTTTTTATCCAAAATTTCGAGATTATTTAAAACGGATTTATTCGTAAATGAAAATAACCCAACCTGTTAATTATGAATAATTAGTGTGACAGTCATATAAGGATACATATAATAGTTTAGTTATATTTGTTAAAAGTTAAAATATTTTATGTACAATGTAGTTTTTTTTTTTTCTTTTTGTTAAGAGAGTAAAAATTCATGAATTGCCACAAATTCGTTGAGTGACCGTTGACTATTATCCCTCAAAATTAGAATCGGTTACAAAATGATGAAATTAATTTGGTTTCACCTGTTACTCTGGTTACAAATTGGTCACGAAATTTTGTGACCATCTCGGAGAGAGGGTAACGATCGGTGACTTTTAATCATCCCCTTTAGAATTATTATTTCTCCTCGTTAAACCATCAGCCTGGCGTCGAGGACATGTTATCATTATTGTCGTAGCCGTTTAAATTGTTGTTGCTGTCGTTGTATACTTGTATTGTTTTCTATCGTACAAAATGGGTCTTTTATTATTTCTTATTATAATCTTGCAATAATGTAATGGGTAAGTTAGGATGCAAGGATGTAAATTAAATGAATATCTTCACCGTTGTCACCGCCTCACCAGTTGCTATTTGTCGCGTATCGGTCAAAAATAATCTACTTAATATCGATAAACCGGAATGTTGTTATTGGTCATAAAAGCTGACTGGTATAAAGAAAATAATATATGTTAGTCACCGTGAGCATACCGTGAGGGTGCAGTGTCGACCTCGCACAAACATGAAAACCAAATAATTAAAAATATTATAACTACTAAAATTATTTTGTTATTAAATTTAATTAGGTGTTAACCAAGCCTGAATAATCGGTATAAGGGATTTTCAGTTCATTCCGCAACACTATGAATTGTAACCGCACCAAAATGATTTACTATCAATTTGTGACCGGTGACTCGACGAATTTGTGATTATTCACAATCTTTTCGGTACATTATTATGTCAAGACGTCAAGTGGAGAACCTACCTACCTACTCAACAGTTTTCATCAGAACCCGGCCAATCAGTTTACATTAATAAGTGCAGTCCAGCATGTAAGTGATGGTTTTCGTTTTTTAGTAGTAGGTTCGCCGTAATTAATAATTCCTACATAATTTATATAGGAAAATGATATGCCTTACTGTTTTCATTTAAGTTTGGATTGTTAAAATATTGCGCGATCACCAAAACAATTCATTAATTTTTTTAGAAATCATGATATGGAAATCAGAGTTTGGAATGTCAGTGTACTGTATGCACAAACCACAAGTACAATGAATGTGTAAAACCAAATATATATATATAGGGTATAACACGAAGATCTGGCCAAGGAAGCTGATTATTGGGGTTGCCTACTGTTCTACATTTATTGAACTTGTCCTTTATTTATCTTTGATTTAAACTTCATGTAGAACATACATCCCTATACAAGATATAGAACATTCCTATACATTTTAATACATTATTCCTTATATTTTGATGATTTTTTTTTAATCCTACTTGTAAGTCTATAATATTTTTAGGAGTTTGAGCACCCCATACAATTTGGATAACCCGACACTCATGAAATAACATTCGTTCGATATATTTATGGTTTTTCTTGGAACAATTTTTAATCTTTCACTGATTAAAATTCCTCTATTTTATAAAAAAAAAATAATAATAATACAAACTATTATATCAGTATTACATTAACTATTATATGTATTCTTGTATGACCGTCACACTAGTTATTTTTCATAATTAACGGGTTATAACGGTCATTAATATGTTTAAAACGGTTATTGCTAAATCCAAATGATGCACATGTGTATAGCAAAAAATATTTGTTTCTATATCTAATATCTATCTTAGAACATTCAACCAACTTTAATGGATGTAGTCAATAATCGATAATAAAGTAACGTAATATGTATGGGGTCAGTTGATCTCGTGGTGCACCCTGGGTAACTCAAAATGAACTGGGACACATTCGGGCTACGTTGAAAAAATGATCTTTTTTTATTGGGACAACCTTCCAGTGATCCCATATTCCAGACGCACTCGGGACATTGAAAAAAAACCATTTCGAGACGTACTCGAGCAATTCCGGTGTTATATGCTTGTTACTTTTCAGATGAAAAAAAAATGTACCTTTTAATGTAATATACCTATTTCAATTCATACATCATAAATAGATAATTTTGATTTTATAATTATTATTATACTTTAATACAATTTTAGTTGTTAAATAAAATAATGTTTTAAACTCTCTTTACAATCTTTAGTCACTATCTACTTACAAGACGTGACAGAACTATCTATAAGCCAACCAATGTACTAATAGTGCCAACATTTTACACAAAGATAATAGTGCAAGTATTAAAATGTTTTATTTTTTAATAAAAATATATTTCAATAATTATTTTAGTACGAATACTATCTTGCAAATGTCCAAAATTAGATAATTTATTATCGGCACAGATTTAATATTTATTAATAGTTATGTTTTGTAATATAATAATATATTAGTTGGTCGTATGAACTAGGAAACCATCATGATTTTAATAAGTAATAAAAGTGGTTACCACAGTAGTTCATTTGATATAATTTACCGCATTCAATAGTTACATAATAAAATCGTATCGATTCGGTTCGAAAATACCAAGTTTTTTGTAAGTTACATGTGATTAAAATTAGTCACAGTCAATAAAATCAATGAATTTTATCACATAATTTTAAAAATTTAATACTTGATCAATCATTCCAATTCTTTTTAGAGATAATACATAAAAAATAATATCCTGTTATTAGTTATTTGACTTA